TGAGTGAATCTATTTGAAGAGAATCGAAGTTTTTCATAAAAATGTCATCTTTATTAAAAAATTATTGGAAACTCATGAGAAATCTTCTTGTTACAAGTCCAAAATGTAAAAAGTTTATTTAATAATTTGTTAATCTTTCATATTTTATATTATGTAATAAATTATAAACTGACTCAATAGGTTATCCAAAACTTCTTCCTTTGACAAGAATGAATACTACAGAAACTGAAAAAACAGAAACGCGACGTATGTAAGATTATAATTCATTATATATCTAATAATTTAATTTTTAATAAATAGTTATAATATATTTGTTATAATTCTAGTTCTCTTTTAATATTTAAAATAATCTTTATACTTATATATGTATACTATAGTTTATATTATGCTTTTTTAATAGCAACAATACGTAAGATTCAAACTGATCTGGAAACTATAAAAGATTTGGGTTTATATATTGCTACATGTTTACCAAAATATGTGCAAAAAACTCAGATTGCTGCTGGTGATGAGCTTGAAATATTAGTATGTCCAGAGGGAATTATTCCAACATTAAAGTTTTTAAAATTACATCAAAATACCCAATATACTTCATTATCAGATATAACTGCAATGGATGTTCCTTCAAGGCAATATAGGTTTGAGGTAAATTATTGTTTGAAAAATTAATATTTTGAAAATTTTATATAATAAATATTGTTCCATGATATTTTGATTTTTAGATTATCTATAATCTACTTTCTTTAACTTTTAACAAACGTATTAGAGTAAAAACATATACAGATGAATTAACACCTATGCCATCAGCAGAACCAATTTTTGATGCTGCTAACTGGTATGAACGAGAAATATGGGATATGTTTGGTATATTATTTATGGGACATACAGATCTTCGTAGAATTCTTACAGATTATGGTTTTGAAGGACATCCATTAAGAAAAGATTTTCCTCTCAGTGGTTTTGTAGAGGTAATTTTATAATTTTTATATCTTTTGTAATTATTATATCTTATGTAATTATACAAATATTTTTAATTAATAATATATAACATAAAAAATATATTACGTTTAGGTACGCTATGATGATGAATTAAAAAGAGTTGTATGTGAACCATTAGAGTTAGCACAAGAATTTCGTAAATTTGAATTATCTGCTCCATGGGAACAATTTCCAAATTTTCGAAGTATACCTCCATCTGATGAAAGTAAGGAAGATTCATCTAAAGATAAAAATTAAATTATTAATTAATTAATTAATTATATTGTCATTGTATATTAAATATAAATTGAAAAAATATTTACATTAATATTTATTTAGTGATATTATGTATTCAAAAAAATAAATATAAAATATAAAAACGAAATTTTTTATAATTCGTTTATTGATTTTAATAATAGTGAACAATTTATTTTTTTTACTTATTTATTTTAATCATTTGATTTTATATATTATTTTTTTTTATAAATTATATATTATAAGAGTTTATAAATTATTTCAAATGAAACATATAAATTTTATATTATTATTTATTTTATATATTGTATAATATAAATGTAATTCATTAATTACAAAGTGCTTATATCCTAATTTTAAGGCATATTTTCCAGTGAATTGTAAACAAATCGAATTAATAACAAAATTGACTGATTCTATCTTTAATATTTATATGTATATAACAATAAGAATTACTATATATTCATTTTTTTCATAAAAGATGTGTACAAATACTTAATATTTGCATTTTACAATTACACATATGCTAAGAACATTTTATATGTAAATTATATTATTGCATCTTTCATTTTTTTATTTAATTACAATAGCACCAGTAATTAGTACATTTCTTAACTAAGTACTTAGATAAATATACTCATATAATTTTATTTAGTACTAACAAGAACTAACTTTCACAGAATAAATTTTTTTTCAAAGTGTAAGGCAAGATACTTCCAATTTAACAAAAAAGAGTACTTTTGTGTTTTTAAAAATATACTTTTTAATAATTATTTTCTTATTAATTCTTTTGAAAATGTGCGTGTAGATTATCTATATATATATATATATATATATATATACATAAGGTCATCACAGTGCCAGTGGTTTATAAGTACATACATAACATTCGTTCTAACATCACAGTATTTCATAACATATCTTGTTATCATATGTGTATATACGTACATGTATAATTGCGATACACAATTTACAAAAAATTTTATAATGACATATAGTTAAGCTCTTGTGTATCTTGAAATGTTCAATTTCAACTAATAGATAAATTATAATTTTTCAATTGGACTCTCTTTCTCCATAATTTTTTGTCGTTTCCTAATAAATGGAACAAAACCCCATAATGATGCACCTACCACTAAGACAACTCCTAAGATGCTAAAGATTGGACCATAACTGCCAATTTGTTCATATATAATACCGCAAATAGGAGGGCCAACTAGCTGTATGATTCCATTTACAAATAATGAGATACCATAAGATGAAGTTAATTTTTCGGTTCCTAGCATATCTGCCATTATAACTGCGGTGATACCGACGTAAATACCGGAGGCTAAGCCAAAAATACCACAATAAACTGATAATAGAGTGTAACTTGTAACTATAGGAAGGAGGGCCAACGAGATTCCAGAAATGAACAAACCACCAACAAAATACCAATGCTTTGGCATGATCGAGACATCAGAAAGAGCAGAACCTCCAATACGCCCTATCAAATCTAATACAGACACAGTTGAAAGAAGAAGGGAAGACATATTTTTATCGAAACCTAATGAGATCGCATATGCTGGTAGTAAGATGACGAAGTTTGTATAACTGACAGCATTCGTGGAATTTGAAATTAAAATTACCAAATAAATAGGATCCCGCAATAAACTAAAGTCAAAGAATTTGTTCTTCTTATCTTTTACTTCATTCTTGTTCGTTTCTTCAGTACCTTTCCTTGCGAATGTGCTTGATATCGCATTTAAAGTTAATGTAGATGCCCGTTCCGGATGTAAAGCGGAAAGTGTACTTCCATGATATGGTGTGCTGATATAATTAAAAGATGACATGCTGGGTGATTGAAAAGGCGATTTCTGACGTTTCAATAGCTTGCCAGAATCTGCAACACGTTCCGGAACTGCATGTAAGGCCGGTGTACTGTGCATCTGACCTGTTATCTCTCGTCCCATTGGCATACTAATTTTTCTTGTTCGACCTTGAACGGGTGTATTCTTGTAATATTCTAAAGCAACACTGGACGCGCTCTTTGGTACTATTGGCGCGGCTTTCTCATTTGTGTTCGAAGAAGAAACAATATGATTTGATTGCTTCTCATCTTCGGGACTAGTTATTGTGACCGAAGCGGCTTCCAAGTCGACATCGTTCGATTTGTTCGACGATGATGCTGGTACCATGTGTTTTTCCACCGGTTCGTACAAAAGAGCACTCGCCCATACATTCAAAGTGACAGCACCCATTATTAATACTGCACCTCTGTAAAAAAGTAAAATGAGTTTTAGCGCTTTTTGTTTGGTCCAATAATAAGATTAACTATAGCTTACAATATCGTCATCAGGCAATATTCCACGGCTGTTGAGAAAAAAATATCACTTCATTAGATCAATTATATAATATTTAAAATTGTTATTAGATCAATTATATTAATATTTTCCATATTTTTTTATACTAATATTTAATATAATTAAATTTGTTTGATAATATAGATATATAACTTAAATTACATTGTTAGTCAATAATTAAAATACAATCACATTTAATTGTTAATTTAATTAATCATGATTATGTAAGTATGGAATGGAATAGGAAATGTTTAAAAATTTTTTATGAATATTTTCTAAAAAATAAAAAAATAAAAAAATAAAAAGGATTTTTCTATATAATGATTTATAATGCACTGAAATAAGAATAATTCAAAATATTATAAATATAAGCGTTTCTGAAAACGCTTTATTATTACATTTATTGCATGTTTTTAATTATTTTAATTTTTAATTATAATTAATTTATATTAATAAAATGTATTATTTTATATTGTATAAATAAATTATAAAAAATACAAAAATTAATATTATCAAATATATACAATATCTAAATATAATTTGCTAATCTTCTTAAGAAATTCACTTATTATAATTTTTGGTAACCAATAGATAATAACATGTAACAGATCTTAACTTTTAATTAATTATTAGTATAATTTTAATACCAGATTAAATTTTGTAAATTATCATTGAATATTAAAGATAAAGCGTTATATATTTTAAAATATATAAGCTTATTTATTAGTCAAATTTCTTTTTTAAATAACATTCTTAATTAAAAATTCATATATTATGTTTCATAATCTGTGCTTTTTTTTTAGTTA